TCATGTGGCACCACAGAAGTAGCAGATGTCTTTTGGGGATAGTCCTTTCCTTGCTTGGAAGTTTGCGGTGCTTGATCTTAAACCATTATATCTTGGTGTTGTTTGTGCATTATTTGTATGACTTCTTGTTTCAGGTGTTTCGCTAAAGCCACGAAAAAGTTTGTCAGCTGTGAATTTCTTCGATTTGTCTTTAGGTGTGACTGCCTTTCTTTTACGTATAGCCCTGGTTTTGGCCTGTCGTAGATGGCGCTCATCTTCAGAATTATCAGCAAAAGGGTTACCTTCATACTCGCTGACGGTGTCCAAACCATGCTATTCACCAATCTTAACAGGTTTGTTGCGAGCAGCGATATCTTGTTGAACTTTTTCATCAGTTTTTAGGGCATAGTCACGATTATCTGCAGAAATGGTTACTTTCAATATATCAATGACCTTGGAAACTTGATCGTTAAATTCACACTGATTTTTGTGGCTTACAAATTTGAATTTTATGTCAGGCTTACTTGCAAGTTGTTTTAAGGCTGGAATTTTAGCTTCATGGACTGCGTATGCAGATCTCCATTTTTTGTTTTTTCTAAAAATGAAAATCACGAGAGAATTAAATATTTCAATAAGACAGCAACCAAACAACAACATTCCCCACAAAAAAAAAAGGAAAAGGAAAAGGAATGTATCTGTACTTCAACAGTAAAAAAAGTGTACCTGTCATGTCTCAACCTCCTTATGATTGTTTTTTTTTTCATTTTTGATAGGCATATTAAACATATTATATATATACATTCTGTTAATACAGACTTAAATAGACAAGTGTTCATGTCATGTATCAACCTCGGTATGATTGGTCTTTTTGGAATTTTTCTAGGACTATACAAACTGTTTATACCAATTCTCTACAGTCGAAATATTTTTCTTTTTTTTTTAAAGAAAAAGGTAATGTGGACTTTTATGGCTTGTCTAGTTTATAGCTTTTGAAAATACCATTGAGAGATTTTTTTCCGATTACAGTCCACTCTGAATTATTGTACTCTTGCCAACTGGTTCCCATGGTAAATTGAACAAGTTTCTATAGTCCAGTAAGTAGAAAATTCTGACGGTGATGCCAATCTCCTCTCTGAGTTTTCGATTTGAAAACTCAGACACAAAATACAGAAAAGGTATTACTTCAATCATATTATTTATTGAATCGCAACATAGGGATGATTTCTTATTAATTGTGTTATTCAACTTAGTATTGTTGTGTTCATTGACTTAGAACATTAAACATATCGTATTTATTAACCGTTATAATTTCACTTAAAATATACGCCCATGAAAGCGAGAAAAGAACCAACCTGCAACGATATATACTTGAAGTTTAAACACATCATCATGTTATGTAAATATGACGACGTCACGAGTTCAGTTTTTTTTTATCTCATCAAAATGTTAAGGTTGTGTCGCTTCTACAGGAACATTTTTGGTATGTTACATAAATAGGAAGAAAAAGTCGATTTAGAAAATCTATGGACTCTATTACACGATTTATATAGGAAACAGAAAAATGTAGAAGAAAAATGCGGATTTCCCCCATATAATCAAAGTATTTTTAATACCCTCTAGGTTCATTCTAAACATGGTTATTTCTTGAAAACGAGGTCGGTGACAAATACTTTTTTTTTTAACATTTTTCGTGGTACATTTTCAATAACTAACTGAGTATTTAATTAAAAAATAAAAAAAATAAATATTTTCAAAATTTTCTATGGATATACTTAATGTAGTCGTTTGCTCATGAAAAAAGCTTCTGTTCAAATTTCATAAAATTCCATAAAGGTTTGAAAAATTATTGATGTCTAAAAATACTTTAACCAAAGACTGAACCAAAATGTTAACGATGACGACGCCGACGCCGACTTTCTTACTTTCGCGACGTAAATGTCGCAGGCTCGACAAAAAATCAAATGACTTGTACTTGAATGTCAAAAAATAAAACACTTTTAATCAAATTACAATAAATGAGTCGGAATAATAAGGAACAAAGCAACAATTCTTTATTATAATAATTATCCGATTTTTTCTAACGTGCATGGTTATTTGAATATAAACGAATATCAATCTTTTATCCTTCTTCCCTTCGCCGGTATCATCATGCTCACTAAAAACTTCACAATACAGACTTTTAACATAAATTCAATCATAAGTAATGCAGGTGAGACATTTCAGTATCTACTCTTGTTAAGAGTTTGCATGCAAGTTTAACATAAAATAAAAGAATATAATTATCATGTAAAATAGGCAGAATGTTATTAGAATTCATTGTTAAAGTTAAGCGGGACATACAGCAGACAATGTCAATACCAACAGTCTTATATGACAGCCTTTAGATTCATGCGTATGCTGGACGTGTGTCGTTAGATTACTGTCGCTTTTATATTTTCTTTTATCGCATGTATATAAGAAACTTACAAAGTCCCTGAAGAAACAATGACTCTTTCTGAACATAGTTATTTATATATATAAAACTCTACTAACAAGCAACCCAGCAGTTTTGCTATAGAAAAAAAAAGTGTAAATTAGCATGGCTTTACTTAAGATATTATCAATATTTTTAATGGAAAACAAAAAAAAAAACGACGAGGTACACTTTGCTGTTTATATAGCCACTAGTATTTAGTAATCAAAACCTATACTGAATGTGTAACCAGGGACCAGGTCAGGTGTAACACAAAAGTCACCATCAGCAAAATCGACATGCACTGAATCTGTAATAGAACAATTATCCCAACACAAATAGTTTATATAAAGAAAAAATAATATGTTGCTTAGTGTTCTATATATCTCGTAATAATAGAGGTAGTAAACATACAACGGATTTTATGTAAAAACATAATAAACAGTTCGAGATAAGCATTTATATCAGTATCAACAAGATTAAGGACTATACGTATTCATAACAGTATACTTTTGTGTCTTTACATGTTAAGCTATGTTTTAATTTAATAAATGTTAGTACCGATGAAGACAGTATTTAAAAATATTTCTATGTACAGTGTTAAATTTATAACCTTTCAGAACTAGTTTATTCAGAAGATCAATAAGTTAACATTAATCGTAATATTTTTTAAACTGATTTTACTTAAATAGAAATAAGAAGATGTGGTATGATTGCCATTGAGTCAACTACTTAATATCCGCCATAGACCAAATAACGCGACCTTCAGCACTGAACAACCTTGTGGCGCAAATGAACTACTGTTTTTAAAAACTTTAATTCGAAAAAAAAAAAATTCCTACAACAAAACTTTTGTCCACACTAAGTATAAATGAAAGGCACTAGCAAAACCCTTCAGGCAAAAAGGACCAGTTGGGTAAACTCATGGAAGACCTACACTAGAGGTCCATAGTTTGGTCTAGCGAGACTATCTGTTCCAACTCTAACTTGTAAAACAATTACCAACGGCAAAACGTGTGTTCGCACTAGGTGCAAGTGTAAAGCACTGGCATAGGGCTTGTCGGGCAAAGGGCCTTATTGGGAAAACTTATGGAAAGTCTACACCAGAGGTCCAAATTTGGGTATGGCGAAACTGTCCCTTAACATAAATTCATAACAACAATCCATATGATAAAACTTTCCTCCACACCAGGTGCAAGTGAAAGACACGGGTACAAATTTTGCCAGGAAAAAAAATGAGTACACTTACTGAAGACCCACGCCAGAATTTGGGTATGATAAGACTACCCATCCTTACATTGATTCTTAAAAAAATCAATATATATATATAATATATATTACAATATATTACAAATCTTGCACTACAATGGTATGTGCAAATGCAAAGGAATTGCCAAACTCTAGCCGGGCTTAAGGACAAAGGAAGGGTAATTACAGAAGATCTACATCATAGGTCCAAAATTTGGATCTGGCGAGACTACACCTCTAAACTTTCATTAGTGAAAAATCCACATGTCAAAACTTTTGCCGGCACTAGATGCAAGTGAAAAGTCACTAGTCTAAGGCTTCCCAGATAAAAGATCACAGTGGATTATATTAAGGGACAACTTTGTTTAACTTTTCAAGTTTAAAAATAGGTAAACAGAGGGGAGAAATCTTCTGTACTTATTTCTTGACATTTACATATGATATTTGCAGAAATTACTCATAATTAACCATGTTAACTTTCAATACAGGAACAATATTTTGTTGAAAGTTAACTTTTAGTTATCGTTGGGATATCTTTTGATTTCCTGTACCGTTGGCTGGCTGTTTCCTTTATGCATATCCGCTTTCTACATGCATATATATAGTTAGTGTTGTTTGTTCCAGAACACCAAAACAGGCTTCGTCATGATAACAAAGACCACTTGACGTGTACTGGTGCTCAAATGTAGTTTATTTTGGATATTAAATCAATTTTATTTTTGGTATGTCGATGAAATGATTCAAACCGTTAAAACTAATCTATTTGTTCCTTAAAAATTGTTAACCTACTAGATTATAAATATTTGAACATTTAGAAGTTATCATATCACATTTAAATGGTCTTACTCAAAGAAAGCTAGTTTTCATTCAACCCGAAGTAATTATTACTTACTAACATAAAAATGTCGAATAATTTGAAAAAAAAATGTTTATGCAAAAAAGCTTGGCCTTAAATAATTGAAAATGCGAAGAACAACTTATGAATATATTCAAACACAATATTTTTTCTTAGAGCCTGAGTTTGTTTGATTATGATGAAACACGTATGAAATATCAGCCAAAACGATATGACTCTATTTTCGTGTATTACCTCATTTATGTAATATTTGTCTGGGTTTCTTTTGTCCTATTAGAAGTGTTATATTCATAAAACTCGGAGCTGTCCATATTTGATATCATATATTAATCATTTAATCATGATGCATTGAGTTACATGTATTGTGTAACATTGTATCAAGCATGAAGCATCGAGTTACATGTATTGTGTAACATTGCATCAAGCTCCTTACGATGAACACAAATCAAAACCAAAACAAAGCTCTAAAGAGACGATTTTTTTTTATTAAAAGCACTTTGTCAAAGTATAACAAATAACAAAAACAGCAAAAGCAATGGCAATACAATATTGAAGTAACGATATTCCTTGTCATGGATCATTGCATGTGATATGAAATGCGTAGAATGTTTAACAAATACAAAATTATATATGAACTACAGGAAGCAACAATCATTGCATACTATTGTAAAAAGGAGGAAAAATGAATTCAAATTTGTGAGAAAACTATATTTTGATTTTTAATATTTAATTCATATCCAAATGATTGTTTGAATTATTTGTCACGACCGTAACTTTAGTGGCCTTAAAACATTTTTATTTAAACGTTCGTTATTTTTGAAATGATTTCAAGTAAAAAAAATAGGAACATTACATAAAAAGATGTAGACGTGACGCAAACATTGATTTGTTACTTCAAATAGAAGTTAAACCGTTTACACATTTAAAGGTCATCATATTACACATGTAAGACCTTTACACCTGGCAAGATATACAATGTAAGACAACTCTAGGTCGTACGGAGTTTTGAGAAGTTGAATAAAAGTGATGAATGTGAAGCATAAATTAACATATCGTTTAAAAAAACCAAATAACCTTTCTACATATTTAAAGATAATTATTAGACCATATAAAAAAGAAGATGTGGTAAGATTGCCAATGAGACAACTCTCCACAAGAGACCAAATGACACAGAAATTAATAGCTATAGGTCACCGTACGGCCTTCAACAATGATCATTGCCCATACCGCATCGTTAGCTATAAAAGGTCTCGAAATTACAAATGGAATACAATTCAAATGAGAAAACTAACGGCCTAATTAATGTACAAAAAAAAAAAATGAACGAAAAACAAATATGTAACATAGCAACAAAAGACAACCACTGAATTACAGGCTCCTGACTTGGAACAGGCACATACATACAGAATGTGGCGGGGTTAAACATGTTAGCGGAATCCCAACCCTCCCCCTAACCTGGGACAGTGGTATAAAATCAGCTGAAAAAGACTAAACTCATCAGATATACATATAACAAGAACATGTGGACGTGACTGGGTACTTGTACATCCCAACAACAAAAAAACACTTAGTACAGATCTGAGAGTACTCGCAGACCATGCACATTTGACAAGGCATACAATGTACGGCAAACTCTTGGTCAAATGGGGCTTTAACAATTTGATTAACAGTGGTAGGTGAAGTATAAATTGGTGATTTACTTAAAAATTAAGTTAAACTATTTACAAATGTAAAGGTCATCATATATCGTGTACTTTTGGCAAGGCAACTATGTATTGCAAACTCTCGGTCATATTGAATTTTGAAAATTTGATAAAAAGAGATAAATTTGCCGCTATTTTTGCTAAAGGGAAGCAATTTGGGTACTCAGCGCAATTTGATTATTGTGACATTAAAGGTAATCATAAGACCATATATTTTTAGCAAGGAATACAATGAACTACAGACTCTAGGTAGTACGGAGTTGAAAAAAGTGATAAATGGGAAGCTTAAATTGGTCATTCAACTATTTACACATTTCAAGGTCATCGTACGACCATGTATATTTAGCAAGGCATACACTATATCGTAAACCCTTGGTTGTCAGGAGATTTGAGAAGATGTGGTTAAAAGCCAGAATATATTTACTAGACACAAACAACAATTCCTATTAAAAATTATAATATGAAGAGTTGATGACATTAACTGAAGATTTTTCAGTACCATAAGATATGTTCACCACTCACAGGACTCTGTGTGCCAAGTTTTCTAAAATAATTGAAATGGAGTTAAACACCCGATAAAAATCATCTACACTAGTCTTGTACTTAAGAAAATTAAAATAACATACCTGTTTTAGATTAAGTCTTTTGTAAGGAATTAAGATTTCCAGTGTAGTTTGCATGATAAAATAAGGAATTGTGGTATGACTGCCAATGAGACAACTATTCACAAAACAAAAAGGTCAAGGATATTACCAACTACAGGTCATCGTACGACCTTCAAAAAGGAGAAAAAATAATACCGCCCATTAATTTTTAAAATTCCCTTTCAAAAACAATGCTAGTGGAAAGCTATTCAAACGAGGAAGATTCCGGCCTGATCTTAGCTTATGACACTAAACGAAGACAGTCGACAACCAGCGATAGCCACAGACCTAGAAAAGATATTTCTCTGGACAGACACAAGTAAATAACGCTTGGGTATAACATTCATAGTTTTGTCAGTAGTATAAAATAAAATAAAAAAAATACCGAACGGATAACATTAAACAAATGAATAAATCTATGTATGCAATGATAACAACAATAAGCAGAATACAAAGTCTGATATTTAAGGTAAAAATGTGCTTTTAAAAATAAATATACACTTAACCAACTATCTAGTTTTATTCTAAATGAATCAGGACATTTTGCAAAAACGCCAATTCCTTATCGCATCAGGATAATTATTGTCATCTGCGTGAAATGATTTTAAAAGAAATCAGATATTTTCGTATACGTTGGAGGACACCAGATAAAAGTTCAATGCTTCATAACAAAGACGGTACTCCTCCTAAAATAAACAAAGAGAATAATTATATATACTGAATTGATTGATGTAAATAACAAGGAGGGCTGTCATCAATAGGAATACTAGTATACTGAGGGGAAGAAACTAAATAAGAATAAGGGGGAAATTTTCATGGCTTAAATGAACATATACAACTAATTTCTTTTTATGTAAAAAAAAAACATTTAATCAAAGTAAACAACTAAAAAAGTTAACAAACGATGATACCAACTTTGCTTTTATAAAAATTGTAATAGTCTGTAACTAAATAAACCGACATGACGGTCATCTATGTTTTAACGCTCTAGAATGATGTTTGATAAAGCAAATACTAGGATTTGACTATAATTATCCTCGGATTGTAAAAAATGCTTTTACCTGTTCACATCTTAATTACTTATAAAGATCGTTAACCTTAATGATCATGATGATACGTACAAAATCAGCAAAGAACTCTGATCTCCTTAACTGCAACAGTCTGGCAAGTTGAAATATGTTTGCATTTCTATCAATTGTCATACTGGAAACAGCGTTTACAAACGCGCAGAAAACCCCACAGATTTTGGCTCCATCACTAGAATATTAAAAAAATCCTAGGGTATTTTTTAATTTTTTTACCAGGAATGTTGTCAGTTTCGACGAATGATTGATTGGTGTTAAACGCCACTTTAAGCACTATTTTGCTATTTCCCTCGCGGTTAATTTGAAGTGGTGGAGGAAGCCGGAGTGCCCGGAAAGGACAATCGACCTTCGGAAGGAACTGACAATCCTTCAAATTAGACGAAATTTGTTCTCCAAAAAAAAATTTACAAAATGACTCGTATTGCATTTTAGCTTGCTGTAATAATGCTGCTTCAAATCAGGGTCTCTTTTTTGTGTGTCAACAAATAAAAGGCAATAATAATATTGAAATAGAATTTTAAATTTACTGATCACATATTAAGTATAAAAAAGAAGATGTGGTATGATTGCCAATGAGACAACTATCAACAAGGGACCAAATGACACAGAAATTAACAGCTATAGGTCACCGTACGGCCTTCAACAACGAGCAAAGATCTGGATTTAGATGAATTGTGTACAACTTAAGGATATTGTTTATGTAACTATGTGGCAGTTCACTGATATTCCATTTGTATGTTTTAGTCCAACAAAAATTTTATATTCAATAAACATCTACTCGCACCATAATTTAGTACACTTTTAGTAACATAGGATTGTAAAGTTCTTCTTACTTTGATCTTAGAAGGAACGAACCTCCACATTGCAAATATTTCAATTGCATCTCAGAACGCTTACGGTGGCGTTAAACGCTTACAAACTATAAAATGTTATTACATACAAATGTACGATCTGCTTGTCAAACTTAAACATACTAGGAATTATAATAGGTTGTTCTCGAAAAAAAAAGTTTTATATCAAACGGGAGTGTCATTTATAACTTGAAGTATATTTTTATTTGATACTTACCCGCTGACAACGGTCACTGGATCATTTGACATGCTGACACGAGTTGATATACGATTAACAAGTTTGCACAAAACCTGTGGATCAGGAAGGCCCTTGGTCACTGCAAAATACAGGGCTATTTCTCTCGCTTTGTCATCCTTCAATGTTTAAGATAAGTGAAATCAATTTATGTTTAACAAGTTTTTTCTATAATAAATTCAAAGGATAAAATTAATTAAGGTTTTTGTAAAAGACATTGTGAATTTACAGTGGACTTTTTAACAACTTTCACCATACATCTTTAAATTTTGTGTAAATATGTTTTTCAATTAGAACCCTTAACCTACAATAAAGCAAACCGTTGAACATCTTGGTTTGTACGGTATAAATTTGGAAAAAAATATTTAAAGTAGTATAACATGTATAAGCAATTTTAATAATTACCTTCTTGGATAGAATGACTTTACAACTTGTAACATCGAGATCTTCTTGTTCTCTGCTTGTTAATCTCAAGCTATATTTACCACATGTAAAGGAGTCTTTTGAAGTTGAGTATACTAAGTCAGCCTGCATAAATATATTTCATATAATCAGAATGCAATGCTCTTGTAGGAATTTAAACTTACGCGAAAAAAAGCACCAACTGTTCTACACGTTAATTTGTTTATGTTTGAATGGAGGGACAGGTTTGGGCTCTAAGACTAACCCTACCAGATGCTATGTTTCTGTTCCTGATGAAAAGCCTGTAATTCAGTGTTGGTTATGTTTTGCTGTATATCATTGTTGTTTTCAATTAATAGTTTTTTCATTAATCAGAATGTAAGGTTTTTATCGTTTGATTACTGTTTCATATTTTGTAATGGACATTTTATTAGTAAATATGCGGTATGTGTTTTGCTAATTGTTGAAGACCATACGGTATCCTACCAGTATATTTATCTACATCAAAGTAATTTTGACTTTAAGGACGATAATTGTTTTATTGGCAATCATACCCTTTTTCCTTATTTGTTATATTAGATAATTATTAAACAATGCCAAACAAGCTCACGAATTTATAATTTAACAAAGAGTGCACAAAAGCAACATTAACATTTAAAACTGGGTCTGTAGAAATTCTTAAAAATTAAAGCAATGGTTGCGGGTAGATGCAGTTACACGATAACTAAAAATTACAAATAAAATTTATTTTTAATGATGTCACAGTGAAAGAAATCTAAATACATGTAACTGAAATTAAATATGGATTCATAATGCAGAAATAATTGGATAAACAGAAACAATATTATATACCTCAGCTGGGTCATTTAGAAACACGACAATTGTAGACGAATTGTGATCTCCAACCATAGTCCAAAAGTCAACCTTCGTGTCCGGTAGTGGTAGCTGTGTCGTTAAATATCCAACGAATTTTGTATATGACTAAAGATTCAAAACATAATAGGTTAAGTTAATAAAAATCGAACCTTCATAATAAAAAGATGAAAATTGTTGATCTAAGAGAAAGGCGAAAGATACCGAAGGGACATTAAAATTATTGTTGTCTTGAAAATTTTATATCTACATGTAAATGTTTGGTAAAAAGTAATAACATAGCATTACTGCATTAAATGAACATTTCTACAATTGGTTTCTTTGTAGTAATGCCAGAGGCCACGAAAATCAAAAAGATAATACAAAAGATAATGAGCTGATGTACTGCCATGGACTATCTAGACATGTAAAAAGAGCTTTGCATGAGGGAGATACACTCATTGATTTTAAAGTGTTCATTAATTTACAGCCGTAAATGTCAATAAAACATGTCCGAGTTTGTATGCCATCACGACGTACTGAGCTCGGGTAATAAGAGTCAAACCTTCTAATACAGCCATTTATCTATACATACTGGAGCTTGTACAGCGTTGATATAATCAGTTCGTCCTTTTTTGTATGAAATAAGAAACAGTCTGTTTTTGTCCGCTACAAAAAAAAAATGCCATGATTTGTTTATTAGTATTAGTACAGTTAAACATCTATTTTGGATGCTCGAGTTAACCACCGGTTTTATGATGGGATCTTGTTGCACACATTGTTACGTTATGTTTAAAGGAAAAGGAAACCTAATTACAATGTTATTATTTCTAGAATCTAAGGCTTACGATAACACATGTATAAATAAAAGAATGTCAGAAAGTCATTTTTTTGAAAAATCTAAATAAATCTTTTAACATTTTTCGCTACAAAGACACCTTCCATATTACTTGAACTTGTGACGTTACTACTATCATTCTGTTTCATTCGGTATCAGTTTAAACACAACTCGCATATTCATCAGTTGAACAAAAAAAAACTTCGACTTTAAAACAAGATAAATATTGGACATGTTCCGACCAAACAATTCGGCGGAGGAATATAAGTCGAAAATTTGTAGCCGAGTTAGTATCACTGTCATCATATCAATGAGCTTATCAAGTTTTATCTTTGAAAGAATATTACGATTGTTGAAATTGTCCGTTAATACCGATGAATGATTTGGAAACATTATTAAAATTTTTATTAATTGCATTATCGAAATGATCGAAATTAAAGTAAAAGATAAACATTTTGACTACGACGTTATGAAATCATGAATATTCTGATGAACGCTTTCACGTAGAAATGAAGACTTTTAATGTTCTTCAATGTAAAATAGTTCCACAAAATGGTGGTATAAACAGAATTGAAAACTATCTTATGCGACATTGTTTTGGTTACTTTCTCCTCTAATGTTTAGGAGACTGTTATTTATCTTTTCGACGTTTTTGTTTGAAGCGAAACTTTCTGATATAGACTTTCGCGGAGTCACATATTGTGAAAGTTTGCGACAAGGCCAAAACAGTGGAGATATATTGTTTCCACTGTATTCCTTTAGCCATAATGCTGTCATTTTTTAGACTTGTATGTATTGCCAACTTTGCATTTTCGCCCACTATCTATAGCAGTAATACAAATTCTTACTTACCCATGCTTGATGTACAAATGTAATCAAGTAAAAGAAATGACAAATAAACCTTGTACGAATTAAGACGAATGCAAAAATACGAAAGTCGAAATGTCTTAATGAATTGCAGTATATATAGTTTAATGTATCGTATCAAACTTTACAATGACTACACATGCTCTAATATATTTTTATGGATTAAGTTTAAATGATTCAATTTAATTTTCGATAATAAATGTTGACATTATACTAAGTAGGTAAATAACAATTTATAATTTAAACAAAACAGATTTATCTATTTTACACAAGAAAGCCACGAAAACAGATACGATTGTGAAATCCTGTACAATCGATACTGACCATTAGATAATTACATTTGGCACCCTTAAAGAGTAATACCCCCTATCAACCTTTGTTAAATTGGCACTTTTCAAAATAATTGTTCAGAATTTATCTTTATTTCAAATAAGGAAATATTTAGCATGAGTATAGTTTTATCTTTTCCAGTGCTTAAAACAAAATTTCACATACCATTAAATTGCATATAAGATAATAACAATCACTGGAAATTAACCAATTAAATTTTCACACCGTTTTTCCTGTTTACAAGCTTTAGTAACCTTATAACCTCAAGTTTCCAAAGTATTTTATAGAAACACCAAATAATCAAAGACGTGCTATAAAACACCAACGATATATATTTATGACAATCATATACAGGGTTAAATTCCTACAACTGTCAAATCAAAGGGGATTAATTTTTTCGACCCTTTTTCATTTGAAACTGGGTGTGGCGTACCATGTGTTGATGATATTACACATTACTAACTGTTATTTGTTAAAAATATAGTCTTCTTTTATCTTCGTGCAGATCTACTCAAAAAACGACTTTACTATCTAATACATATGTTTAATCATCAACATCGGAAATAAGATTAACTCTGAACTGAGGGAACATATACTTTAATTATATCTTCGGTTCTGACATGATTTACAACAAACCTTTCTGAAATGGTCCGTTTATAAATTTTGAAATTATAAGGTTTCAACTCCCACAGGCAAAGTTGACCTCAGATGAATTTGGCTTTTTTCGGGTACTTTTTGGTCATAAAGCTGCTCACATGTTTCGGTTCATGTACATCATAGGTATCAAATATTCGATTTTGAGTCGTCCTGATGACCTTTATGCAGAAACTTCAAATCAAAATAGTAATAAATCATATTTTAAAATGCAAAAACTTTGAAATATTAATCTTAATTGGCAGCTTACAAGGAATAATACTCTTATTTCTGTTCTTTTCTACATTTTCTGGGCTTTTAGCAGCAACATATTCAGCTTTCTCTTGCTCAGATTTCTTAGCCTTAAGCATCTACAATATACCAGTATAATTTGAATGCTTATATTAGTGTATACTTGTATTTAGATGTATTACATTTCATGCATTATAATATTTGAAATTGAAATATTCAGAATTACATATGCATCAAATTTGCATTTTAAAAAGGAACATAAAAATACCGTGTCGAGATGAAGGCTTACTTAAAGAGAAAAATGTATTACTTAAAATAAAAAAAAGTAATTCAAAAAGGTAAAGAAGTGCAGACATTTTGCCATCTAGAACAAGCATTGTTGTTTTCAAATTTGGGAATGGGTCTTTTGAACGCAGTTCCAGGACACACCCACATATATGTAAATCTTAAAAAAGCTTTATCCAAATATTACTGCACCTCGAACTCTTCATGAAGTCGGCGTCTGTTAACAGGGCCTTTATCTTCTAAAATTTCCTGCCAGATAGTTCCAAATTTCTTCTTTCCAACGTTTGTATCCTCCATTGTGAAAGCCTCAAGTAAGGCATAATGAAGGCAAACATATTGTCCCTACAATATGAAACACTTAATTGTATATTGGTTTCTCGAATGAAAATAACACTTTATAATTACGTGCGTCCGAGACGCTTTGCTGGACTAACCTGCATCAGAAACACTGACATCTAAACATTTGAAAGCAAGTATTGTATACATAGGTAGAAAAATGCACATTGTCTTATTTCAGGTATAAGACTTCTCTTCTTTTTTCTCATACGCGTGGGCCCTCAACATTGAGAAAAACTAAAACCTTATAGTCTGATATAAAAGGCATCAGAAATTAAAAATATGAAACAATACCAATGAGAAAACGAACAGCCTAATATATAACAAAATAATTTACAAAAAACAAATATGACACACATGAACCAACGGCAACCACTGACTTGTGACAAGAAAACAAAGACTGTAGGGTGTTTAACATGATTGTGTGCGCTTAACACCCTTCAATGAATATTTATTTTTGTGTTAACATTTCAAAAAGTACTTTAATTAAGTAAGTAGTTTTTTTTTCAATTTTTGCTATAGCTATTATAATCTGTGCAGGTACCCTATTTAAATTCTAGATTTGACTCTCTAGTGTGACAAACGTAGTAATAAAACTTACAGGTGTTTGAACCATGTTCATCCTGCTGTACCTCATTTTCTCTACAAACTTAACGACATCCACGAACCCAGTATCACGTCCTTCTTCATATAAAGCATCAAGTCCGATATATGTCCCAGTTCTGCCTATACCAGCACTGTTGTGAAAAAAAGTGATATCATCACTGTAAATTTACGTAAAAAAAAGCATGAGAATCCTATTCTTTGTACTCATTAAGGATAATGAAAAAAAGTTCTTTGAAAAGATAAGACAAGAAATCCTACTAATCGTAATTTGTTAGGGTAAAAAAAATCACATAATATAATTAAATACTGATTTCTGGAATTTTCATGTTTTCCTGTAAACATTATTCGATATTCATTCTAGTCATTTTGTTGAACGACGTTTAGTGTTTCTGTATTAGCAATATTTAAATATTGTGCTGTTTATTAATGTAGTCACATACATTTGATTTAAAGGCGAATGTCATGGCACACGCATATATAGCGGGAAACAAAGTCAATATTTGAATTTTCAAATTTCAATACCTGCAATGAACAAGAATTGGTCCATTATTTTCAGTACTTGTATGATCAGATATGACATGTTTGTGAAACAATACAAGGTACAGAGGATCTGGTGTTCCATGATCAGGCCAGGCAGTAAAATGGTACTGTGTGATACATCTCTTCTCTTTTGTCTGTTATTATTATCCCATACAATGAAGAAAAGGAGCATGACATAGTAGACATAAGACTATTTTTTGTAAGAAAACCAAAAACAAAAACATCAATACAATTTCGACACTAATAGTGTATTTATGACTTTTGAACAGCGGTATACTACTGTAGCCCTTATTTACACAAATAATTTTTTTAGTTATATGACATTAACCGTGGATACAAAAAAAAAAAAATAAATAGAGATATTTATCCTGATCTTACTATTGTATGTAACTAAATATTGATTTAAGTTTGCAATCTCAAATGTAGTATTTGTTTGCGCATCAAACACAGTTTTTTTTTTCTGTACAAATTTCGTTTGTTTCGTACTTCTAATTATATGTGATCATCTATCCAAATAAAACATTAATATTCACGGTACCAATTTTGCTGCACCAGCTCATTTCGACAATAAATGTCTGTTAAGTGATGATTGAGGAGGCCGAAATATTTGAAAATCCAAAACTTTTTCAAAGATCGAAGAGCTGATAAACCAAATAAAGTTGCAATACAATATATAGCATTTGAGTCAGCATCCGGAGACTAAAATAGATAACTTACTGACGAACTAAGTGACTGTCATAAAAATATACACCCACTTCTTCGTAGCTAAGATAATCATTTTTCTTTTTAACTAGAAGAAAAAAATTGAAGGCCTATCACTTTTCCCGCTAGCTTTACTAATAACTTTACAAACCAACGTTGATGCGGACTATAACGTTTTGTTGAATCAATTTTGTTGTATCATAAATTAATAATATGTATTCATATCTGTACAACTGTAATACAAATTATTGATGAATCTACACTATCCCCATGGTAATCTTCATTGTTATCCAAGACGATACTCCAATGCTATTGTAAATAAGAGCAGATGCGGTTACGATTCGCAATTTTTAATTTCAATTCCTAAATTATTTTCTGTCTGCCATACCGTTTGATCTTCAACCTCTATCTCCCTCGTGATATATGCAGCCCGTTCCTTTTCTGTTAGTAAGGTGAGAACAAGGTAACCATACGTCATCGGCTTTCCTCCTGGCCAGTATCTTTCACATTTCCTCTAAAACGTGTAACAAGTATGTCTATGAGTAAATATCTTTATTCTTTTGTGAATTTTATGGATTTCAACAACTGTTTTCACTTACATTGTCATTCTGAAAATCATTGAATGATGTCATCATGTCGGGGCCTTTAATAGCGTATTATAAATTATGGGATTTAGTCATTGTTGAAAGCCGTCTATATGTATCAGCCGTTAGATCTTATCGTATTGACAAATGCCTTATTAGCAATCATACTGCATCTTCTTATTTTAATATTGATAACTATAAGTATGATTGGATCTCAAACTACATAATATAACATAATGGGATCATCACAACAATGTCTTTTATATGTGACGTCTAATTTTTTCCTGTTGCAAAGCATCAAATTTAGAGGAAACAACCATAAATCAACGCAACCAATATAAATACGTTAACCTTAAGGTAAAATATCACAAGACTCCTTGTTTATTTTTGATGAAAATTGTCCAGCGTTAATGACAAATAATTAGGACAAATGTACTACTGTTGAATAATTGTCTTCTTGTACTCTAATTCGCAGATAATTTCACGTATGCAGTGACCTTCACTAAAAGACGTCTAGTTGGAATTTCGGCAAAAAACTCTAAAATGTATTAGCTTGCGACCGACAATCGCTGAACGTATTTGTCGATAATACGTTATAGATTCGTAAAAAATGAAAAACAAAAACGTACATACAGGACTTAGTTTTGTTTATATGCATGCATTGGTTCAATAATTCCGATAACATTTTGATTACAAGAAACTCGTAACATATGATTTTAATTTTTTTTCCTTTTTAAGCTCAGAGGCTCAAAAAGAAAACCAGGTGAATTATTTTCTTCAATTTTGATATAGTGCTGTCAAAGTTGGAGCAAACCGGATAGTTTGAAATGGCACTAAATTAAAGTCGAGACTTGAGTGACGAGATGGTAATTTTTACTAGGAACAACTTAAGTTTTTCGGTTCCTTTATTTTAAAATGGAACTAAGAGGTCTACATAACTGTTGTGTTGAGTTTTTATTCATAGTAAATTAATATCAACTTAATTTAGAAGCCAATGTGGGGAACCAATACTTCATTACTCATAAGAAAGAGAGCGGATGTTAGTTAGGATGACGCAGATATGTATTTTCATAAATAATAAGATAGAATACCCACATCTTACCCGAGTTTATCCCAGATTTGTGGTGGGGTTCGTGTTGCTCAATCTGTAATTTTCTGTGTTCTATTTTGATTTTGTTGTGTTTCTGGGTTTTTTTCCTGGTGATTGCGATTAGAATAAAATCTCTTATATTGCTATATAATTAACTATATAAAATGATAGTGAACTATATGTACCTTTGTGCCTTCTACCAGATTTGTCAGCATTATAATCTTTCTTGTATTATTTTGCCAAATCATTCTCCAGTGGTCATTTATAGTATTCTTTAGTGGTCCTGAAACATGTGAATAAATCTAAATTGTTAATGCCATACATTTTATGGCTCAGGATCATGGCATTTCATAACTAAATAAAATTTTGAGGTCTGTTATACATATAAACTAACAAATATCTTGGTTGATATTGCTGTTTACAAATGAAAATTATAAATCAACAAAATGAATTGAATTTAGACAAAAAGTTATTGAGCCTTAATTTCGATTATGTTTATGAATTTGGGTATATTGTGTTTGAAATTCCTGGTGTACTATTCACTTGTGTAACTGTAGACACTTATCTTTTGTCTTTTGTACGACTTTTTTAAGATACTTTTTGTTTTGGTTTCCGATTTTGTAGCTCTATAGTTTTTAGGGGTGTTGTAGCCTAATGTACACCAAAACAGGTGCAGAAACAAATATAAATGCTGAATTCATTGTTTGCTATAGGCATCGGAGTATCAGCTGTAGATAAAATATCCTAAACAGAGTTGTTAATGGTGGACTAGGAATTTGGTATATGTATTGTGACATATATTGAAACATGAATAAACATGAATTATAACTATCATACCTTGAGATGCTATATGACACTTTTCCTTTTTGAAACCCTGCAATTAAAAGGTGTTTACATAAAAGTTTCCACAAATATATTTGATAAAAAATAAGACGTGGTTGTATGATGGCAAATGAGATAACTATAAACGAATATTCGAAATAATATGGATGTAAACGACTATCATAGATCACCGTATGGCTTTCGACAATGAGCAAAATTAATACCATATAGCCCGTTAAAGAAGGCTTCGATATGACAACATGTGAAACAATTCACACGAGAAAAACCAACGGCCTGATTTTTGAAAACCGTCCGTTAAACATGGAAAAGTTGTGTTAAATCACACAATAAGAATAAACTTTAAAGATTAGTTGAAAATGGCTTCATTCATAACATTGGTACGAGGCACAAACATAACTAACAAAAAGGCAAAAGATACAAAGTACCGATCCAATAAGACTTACAGATACTGAAAGCTAACTCAAGGGCAATGACAACCAAGAAATAAATCATGTTATACTAAACAAAACTATCAATCGGTTCACATTACAAGGATTTAGTGTGAATACGTCATCAACCGTCTTGGTAGAGTTTGACCTTGTGCAATACTAAAATGTAAGTACATTGTATCGACAGAATGTAGGACCATAATATTTCATAACTGTATAGTTGATAATTTCAAATAATAAAAAAAAAATATGTTAATACCTACAGACTATTAAAATATCTTACTACTGTTGTAAATGGATAATAATTAAGAATATTACACGTCTAGTCTGTTCATTTATATCAATATTTATGTTAATATCGGGTCACATGACTGTCTTCTGAATTCATCTCGATAATGGATTAGAGGGTGTCCATTCCTAAAATTAGCACGAAATACAAGCTGATACTTTATTTCGATTTCATGCATTGCTTATTATTTCCTAAGAAACCTTTGTAATTCACGTAAATATTTAAGTAAATTATAGATCAAATTAAAGATTTTTGTCAATTTGGTGGTAATGAATTTAAGCAGCTAATGCCCTTTAATCAAATAATATAGATTACTGTAAGTTGGCATTGACGAAAGTTTGCTTTATTACAGATTGAAACACGTTAAAACGTTATTTAGCGCTCGTTTCTGTTGTAAATTCTGAACACACGTTGTCGTTGGGCTGAGCTCAGGATCACGGATTATTTATCTGTATGTTTAATTTTTGATTTGGTTATTTTGTTTAAGCAATTTCAATTTTTCAACTTCGTATTGATAAATGAAAAAGTACTTGAATTGGAAATTGAAAATAGAAATAATAAATAGAAATTTGAAACAAACCTGTTATCATCACCCGCGATACATAATGATATTTTATATAAAACAAATATTTAGTAAGCTATCTTCATCAGAAACATCTTCATTATGCATGTTCCACCTTTATGACGCACAATTGTCTGAAGTGATGTCACGTGGTATGATACTACTTTAAAATCACTCAATACATTCTGCGTTTTAAGTTTTATTAACAAATTCAAAATGTTAATAACATTTATATGTTTTTTCGTTGATCTGTTAATATAGTAATTGCTTTCCTTATATATTTCGAATACATTGAAAAAAAAACCAACAGTCTTTTCTATATCAAATAACTACATTTCAGATTAATATTTCATTTTAACTTAAAATTGTTGCGTACACGGATATTAAATGATACATGTTACAACTTACATCTACATAGTTAGCATTTATATAATCTGAGGACATCCCATGACCTGGTTCCAACACAACCCTTGTATGGTCATCTACAAGAGAATGGTGATTACTGCAGTGTAGTCGTGACTGTACGAATACGATGTTAATACTGTTATCATTTGTGTTATTTTTGTTATAATTTTTTTAAATTTTCACATGGACGTTAGAAAATAATCTTCAAAACTTTATATTAGATATGAAAATGCTGTGATATGAATTCATTTAAACGTACCAAATTAATAGTTTATAAGCATAAAAAGTCATTGTTAGTTGAAGATCTCTCAAATACTCACATGGAAATATTTCTTTAAATCTGTTCTTTGGTTGATTTTCCTTTAGCTGAGCCTTTGTAGTGGGATGTAGAACTCCATATTTTATTTTCTAAGGTGTAAATATTGAAAGGATATTCTGGCTTGCTACGGTTATCGTATTAAGAATAAAGCAAACGCTCGAGATGGAAAACAAAGGAATTTAATATCTATGTAAAATATACACTAAGGAAATAAAAATGATGTTTCATCTTCAATTAATTTTTTTTCAGTACCTGTAGAAGAAACTGGCATATATACTGCAGCTGTGATATTTTACATTGACCGTATAATCATTTGTGATATACAGTCACTGACCGTATATCGCCTTCTTTACGACGTTGACAATGCGTTTCCGTAGAGTTTATTTATGACATGTAGTCTTTTCAGTATTAATTTTAATAGTAGTCATGATAAACATTCACCTTAATACATTCAGATAAAGTTATTAATTTGCCACACATTGACAGTCTTTTGATTAACACAACAGATACATCAACGACATGTAATACTTCAAAATTTAGTAATATGTAAATTAATATTTAGGGATACATCAAATTTCGATCATGAAGCATCTAACAACTCCTTACCTTAAATTCATCTTCTAATGTGTCATTCAGTTGTTTTTTAAAAATATATTCTTTTAGCTCATGGACTTTTATACTGATATGGTCATCTCTTGGTGGGTTTAGATTCATCAGTATTGAAGATGGAGCTTCATCCTCATCAGTACCTGTAGAGGAAACTGGCATATATACTGCAGCTGTGATATTTTACATTGACCGTTTAATCATTTGTGATATACAGTCACTGACCGTATATCGCCTTCTTTACGACGTTGACAATGCGTTTCCGTAGAGTTTATTTATGACATTATTAAAAGTATAGGTTCAAATTAAAAAATGACGGTTTTTACTCAAATGTTTCATTTTAAACAGTTGTAGGAGTTACAGTATATAAAGAATAGCCATAATGTGTCTCGAAATATAATTTATATTTGTACTCGGCCCAAAACAGGATAGAAATGCTCGGCAAAGAAAGCCTCACCTTTTACCTGTTTCTAACCCTTGTACAAATAATGTATATTGCGAGACAGACAATGTATGGTTATTCTATATTTATCCATGTACATTAGTCCTTGTTTATTTGTTTGCAAAGATACAGTACATACATTCAGATTATAAAACGTAAAAATAAATACAAAAAATGCAAACATAATTTACAATCATAAGGTGCCAGCTTGCATTTAAATTTCATATCTGCAAACAATTGTTTAAATTACAGCAACAAATAAATTGTTATAAATCACAGTCCACTGTATGACCATTATCGCAACTTAAGGTACACATAACGAAAATGATTGTCATCTGATATGTTATTATTGAAATAGAAATATGTTTTCATATCGAAGAAAAAACCCAAATAAACTTAACCTGTCAAGTCGAGATATTTTACGGCTTGATATGAAATGTGGGTTTTCTCTCATTGTAGACGACCGTAAGATGACAAATAAAGTAGTTGCTAACGTTTACGTCATTTGGTATCTTGAGGAAGGTCATCTCATTAGCAATCATATTTTTTTCTATAGTTTGCTAATACATGTGATTTTACAAGGAAATAGAGCACTGTAACCCTCTAAAATGTAATAATGAAAGATCTCTGTATCATCGGTTAAAAAAATTCCCTTACCTGACAAGATGTGGAACTATATGGTTTAAAAACTGACAATATGATCTCCTGGGTTCAATTAAAATATTTTTTTTTTTAGATTTAAACACAATAGTACGTCTGCATGTTATGAGCGGTAAATTATTGCCATGAAAATTATCTTTTCAATTGTGATCTATGTGTGATAGAAAATACTAAATGTATTGAAGTCCAGCTAGAGTAAAGGAGAAAGAGATATTTGCTCGCTAAAATTAGTCGTTTTGTGATATCGTTCAGATGCGGACTTCGTGGATGAGTAGAGTACCCTAAATAAGAAACTCGGCAGATATGACCAATAACAGGTAGCTCAATATCGGATTGATTTGCCAGTAACAGTCTTACCCATGTTAACGTTAATTTCCTAAGATAATTAAGTCGTTTATGTAATAAATAATCCAAGTTAATATAATCGAAATAAAACGAAAACCTGAAATGTATCATATATAATTTATATCATACCTAGTCTAAACTGAACGGCCTGAGCAGCGGTTATACGGTTGGTGTTCACTTTCTGTCCCTTTGAATCTTTCTTGTGTGAATTTCGTCTTCTTATGAATTAGAAAATCATAATAGCAGTTGAAATGAATTAAACATGTAATGCTGGATAAAGCTAAATGATAATATATGCAGTGGGAATTAATTTGCTATATTTTTTTTATAGTTTGTATGATTTCTAAATGAATATAATAATATTCGAAAAAATTGAACTATAAAATTACAGATTGGCTTCCCAAAAACATTTGCTAAAGAAGAGATAGGCTTTTACTTTTCTGAATTATTCAATTCATAATTTACTTATATAACTAAAATAATTACCGTCGGAATACAACACAAATTATAATAACAAGTACTATTGCTCCTATCGCGCCACCAACAATTGGGACTAAAGCACCACTTATCTGTTCTGGATCTATAAATGATTAGAAGAGCCTAAACTATGATTTAGACATAAAATTAAAATATGATTTTATTTTGTTGAAGCGTATAAAAAAAAAAAATATTTTGTTATAGTCAGTCAATTTGTATTAATTTGTCATGATGAGCTCAAAAACATTGCTGGTGTATTATTGGCTTGCAAGTCAGTTAGTCAACCTGTTGATCAGATTTCCTGTGACCTTCAATTTGAGACTAATCTTAAGGTGGATTACGAATGTGTAAAGCATGTACAGTAATTATAAAAAATATAATGTCAACAATAAAAAGTGAAACAACGGAGCCACCGGGGAACGATTTCGCTGACTGATTCTACTAACAAGAAATCATTCTGTTACATGGAAACGATTATTAAGATATTGTTTAATTTATGACATGAAATCCATCAGACCTAGAATGATCTTCGTAATACGATTGCACATGCTTGTGTGTATTTATATTTATTTGAAGTATTTAAATCAATCATACACTATCGCCATTTTTCGTTCATCTTGATATTTAATTATATGGCGTTTAGTCTAAAATACAAGAAATGATTATACATTACAGAAAATTCATGCATTGTTAAAGAGGGGCGAAAGATACCAGAGGGACATTCAAACTCATAAATCGAAAATAAACTGACAACGCCATGGCTAAAAAAGAAAAAGACAACAGACAAACAATAGTACACAAAACACAACATAGAAAACTAAAGACTAAGCAAAACGAACCCCACCAACACCTGGGGGAGATCTCAGGTGCTCCGGAAGGGTAAGCAGATCCTGATCCAAATGTGGCACCCGTCGTGTTGCTTATATAAGTACAACCCCGGTAAAGTCTAATTCGGTAGGTCACATTCGTGAAAAGGGGACGGGATTGCAGTTACGACATAAGGAAAATATCCGCTATTATCTGTGAAACGGATATTTCATAACGGTCAACCAACTCGTGATGGCGTCCGTAAAATTTACGAAGGGATGATTTCAACTTCACCATTTGGAATTCTTGGTTTTATAGCTTCCTTTTGAGCAGCAACCGTCTATCAAGGAAATCATGATAGAAAATACAAGCCCTGGAATATCGTATCAAATGGGAGATGTATACGCCGTAAGCAGGCGCTGCTGGAACGTTGCTACATAGAAATGGAAAGTTCACAATTAGGAAGCTGAAATCATATCTTTTGTAGTAAAATTTTGTTTTCAACCGACCCTCATTGTTAATTTCTAGATGTAAGTCAAGATATGAGGCAGACTTAACTGTATCTGTAGTATCCTTTATCTTAAGTTCGATGGGGTAGATGCGTTCAACATAGTCACAAAAGTTTGAATTATTTAGTGAGAGAACATCATCTGTATAGCGGAAAGGAAAGTTCTTTTCTTTCTTCCTAAGAAGTTCCTGTATGAAGTCAGCATCATAAGAATAAAGGAACAAGTCGGCAAAAAGAGGGGCACAGTTGGTTCCCATGGGTATGCCGATAATTTGTTGAAAAACACGTCCTCCCAACGTAACAAATATGATGTTAATCAAGAAATCAAGCATCTTGATAATGTCAGTTTCAGAGAATTTTTTGTTTGAATCAGAGTGATTTTTTACAAAGTAGGATTTATCCCTCCCTAAGACAAGATACTTTTTTTACGTTGGCCATTCTTTTTTATAAAACAAAGCAATGTCAACTCTTTCAATTTGTTTTTAAGTTTGGAATGGGGAATTCTTTCGTAAAGTGTTGACAGGTCAAATGTTTTAATTTTATTCCAAGATGAATGAGTTTTAGATTATATGTACTCTAAAAGATCTTTGGAATTTTTCAGTATCCACATCTGATTCATGCCACCTCTAGAATATGCAGTTTCACAATAACTTTAATTGATCCTTTAGGGGTTTTTGTAATTTGGATCTATTTGTATGTTATAAATCAAATGTGAGAGTTTGAGTCAATTTGGTGAACATTACTTTGAAAACTAGTGTCCCTTTAACGCTTGAAATATACATATAGATTGTCAAATTAAGACATTAGTGTTTTTGCCTCGTAGTGAATATATAGCATGACAGATGTTTGGTAGTCCACGATGATTTTATTCAAAAACCTTTCAAAAGTCTTGACAATTTAAATCCTGGAATCTTGTCGGAATTCTCTTTTATTTCAGGAGACAATATGCTATCATTAGACAATGTAAATTGCCTATTGGCCTTTTGTGTCGTTGTTGATAAGCTTTATTATTGAGTTTATACAAAATGTATGATCACATGCGAAAAGTTTTTTAATTACTAAGTAAATAAAGCACCTTTAGTCTTTAATATTTTACCTTTTATCATGAGTAGGATCTTGCTACTGTATCCGGTTCCTATAGCATTGACTACGGCACACACATAAGTGCCTGCATCGAATTGATCAGTGTTGACAATGGTTAGAGATGGTTCATTAATTGTACTTCCGTTATATTTTGAAACTGATACATTCAGAATTTCACCATCTCTTTTCCAGAATACCGCGGACGGTTCAGGGTATGACTCGTGAACGCATTTTAGTTGAATAGTATCACCAGTAGAAGCTTTGATATTATCTGATGGTTGATATACTAATGGAGTATCTGTGGAAAAAGAAAAAAAAATGTTTATCACTTTGTTTTAAATGCTTAGCACCCTACTTTGTTTTTATGTACAAACATGATACCAAATGTCAGATACAAACCAACTATCATAATTCAGTGCTGAATTATTTGTTGTTATCAATTTTTGTTGAATGACTGTATAGATAATGAAAAAAAATAATGGAATTATCCTTTTAACATGTGAGTTGAAAATTTGTAATTAAATCATTTAAAATGAAAACAACATTTGTTAAGAAGCATTTCATTACCTTTCACAAACAGTTGAATTGCTTTCTTGCTGGTCACTTTAACAAGATCGTAAGATGTTTCACATGTGTAGTTCCCCGTGTGGTTCCTGGTTACATTTGAGATGGTTAGTGATGGCATGTTCAAAGTACCTCCACTGTATCTCACACTACCGGCCGTATCAATGATCTGATTGTTTCGTCGCCATGCTACACTATTACCACCAGTGACATCACACTGTAATGCAACAGTTTCATTTGCCCTAATATTCATGTATACTGGGTCATAAACGTGTACAGCTGAAATATGTAACAAGTACTTATCACCAGTTAGTAAATTTTCCAAAAAACTCCAACATAACTTGATCTAATACATTGAAACATGACAACATGGTTCACAAACTGCATGCAAGTTTTTTTTAATTGTTTGAAAACTCAATGCATAGAAGTTTGTTTATTAACATCTTAAAACATTTGTTTAAATTAAGAAAAAAAATTTATCACGATTTCCCGCACTCGTAATACATTATGTAATATGGAAGTTGTTCCGTTATCACAAATTATAGCAATACGTTATAACGTTTTAAATCTGAGATCAAGAATTACAAAAACATGCTAATATCTTATTACTTAGATTCTTTATGCAGAAGCTGGATACTTCCAAACTTGATAACATAAGGTACCTACGATATATGCAGATGTATTTACGAATGTATTTTACAAATGTAAGTCCTTAGGGAATATGAAATATCATGACAGTTAAGTCTGTACCAGTCATGACCATAATGGATAATTAAATGTGAATTTACTCATAACGATTCTTAACCAAAGACAATCCAGAGTTTGCTATAACGCATTGAAGTTTGTCCAATAATTAAGGTTTATTGACTTCTAGTTGTTTTGGTTTTGTGTATCTGTCTTACTGACCTTTACCGAAATATCCTTTTATCCAATTTGGTTCATTGGAGAGCATGTAAAAGCTGTTATATTACTCCAGTCCTCCTCCCAAAAAAATATAACAGACAAACAAACAAACAAACGTAATGCCTTACATTGATTTACACTTAATATTGAATGAATTATGGACATACCACCTCTACCATGCGTTATAACTATGAATGCCTACAAATGCTAATTCATAATAACTCCGTATGAGGTTTTTATTTTTCCACTATAAAAGAAATTAAACCATAAGATAACTACAGAACGTATCAAATTATAAAATTATAAGAATGGGAAAATAAAATTGGTTTATGATTGAAAAGAAAAAAAAACACAATGTCAAACTATACATGTTCAAATTTAGATTAAACGGTAAATTAGTCGATATTATCACCTTGCATCATATTGTCATGCAATTATGATTACAACTTTCTGAAAACCAGCTTACAAAAATGTATCAATATAGAGGGTTCCAAAAGTAAAATAACTAGGAAAAAAGCTAAGAGCACACAGGATGTTAAAGTGTCTTGTTTTCAGTTTGAAACGTGTCTGAAATACAGAAATTATATATATGGACCTTTTATGTCTGACATAGAGATTCTTGTATCTTATGTTATATTATTGTATCTTTTCAGAAACTGGAAATAAAAGAAATGATATGTGATCTTTGCCCTTTTGCACTCGAGGACGACGATTATGTTGTGTTTGAATATTCTTTTCTTCATAATATATGAAATTTAAAGGGATAGTAGCTACGATTTTGAAAAAATTATGACCTAGTTTTAAAGCTGCTAAAATCAAAGATATGTACTAAAAATTAACATTAAGATCGCTAGAATGGTTATATAAATC